ATTAATGTATCATTTGAAGATATTATTGATGAACGACGTCGTTTACATGTATTAGATGTTATATCATCATCGATTGTTGCGGTGTTATTCACCGCTGAAGCCATCTAAAAAAAGAAACAATATATATATATATATATATATTAATTTAGAAATTTAAACACATGTACTCTATATATGCGCTTCTATTTTACCATTACAGAATGACATCGAGAACCTCTATACAATGTATGCAATAGGATTGGTTTATTTGAAATGAAGAAAAAATAAATAAAGCGATAACTAGTGACATCTATGCTAAGATTGACTATTCAAGTATAATCGAGACGCTTTTAATTGATTGAGATTGCCTAAATATAAAATAGTTTGATCTAGTTACATCAAAGAATGAAGACTAATTAATGGGGGGTGTTTCGAGTAGGGCACTGTGGACACCGGGACGAACGCGTTAGGTGGAAAATTAAAAGTATACTTTTCAATGATTTAAATAGGATAGTATATACTCTGACATATGGATTATCTAATGACATAAAAGTCTTTGTTCCTCCTGTTAACATTAGGCGGAAAATGTCGTTAGTAAGAATTAAGAGCCATTTTTACTATGAACAAAAAAACTATGGATTCTTAAAAAAAAAAAAGAAGCTTTTTCTTTTATTTACATGGAATTCGAAAAAAAGTCATTCTTCTTTAATAGCGAATGCTTTTACGGAAATATGTGTTTGCATCGAAAACTACATCGAATGATGTATGGTGTATTAATCTTTTTATTAAGAAAAAAAGTTTTTGCATTTGACTTTTTCAGATTATATTGACGTTTGAGAGGTGAAAAAACAATATTGAGCAGAAAATAATGTCTTTCTAAGTTAAACAATAACATGTCCACCTGGTCGATGAAAACAATGCTCAGTGCGATCGGTTGAGGGGTTAACCCTTAATCTTGAAAAATTTTCATTTTTTTCCAGCGGAGTTGCATCATTTTGTTGTTTCTTTTATTCATCAATCTCCCAAAATAACAATACTCAACTTCCTCAAAATTCGATCAGCTTCAGTAAAAATTTTTTAATCCGTCTCTCGAGTGTTCGATTCCGGAATCCTGGTAGTCTAGAGACACTCCTGGTAATTAATACATTTTTCTGCTTCAGCAACATACCCTAGATAATGTGGTAAGTTCAGGATACCCTGCTACCAGTATGTTACAGTAACCTTTGGATGCTTTAGTACCCCAGTGTACTTTATGATTTTTTAGCATTTGTCTACAAAATGCTTCTAAATGTGCAATCTACTAACTTGCAAACAAAAATTTTTTCCTACAATGCGAGACATATCCACTGTCTAGAAAATGGAAATTCAAGAGAGCCAAGTGAAATTCAGTGTTTGCAGTATCCACATCGTTATTGTATGCACTTGAAAGTTTTGAAATCTAGAGAATTCAGGACGACAAAGTGAAATACACTTTTTAGAGCTCCTGAATTCGAATGGTATGAGTCAATCTTTGTAACTCTTCTAGTGAGATCGTGTGTCAGTCGTTTGAATCATCCTCTTCGTAAAATGCTTAGAGTTCCTAAGATTATAGTTGAGACTTGTTCATGTTGTTGTCAAATTGTTTAATCGTAGTCATGTTGAACGCATAATCGGTTTTTAATTCAACAATGGATTCATACACACGTTTGGATTTGAGGTAGCAATATTTGAAGCCGATGGTGTCAGCCCTCCCCTCCAATCCATAGTTTGTTCTAGAACCATTGAATTTGTAATAATTTCATAATTCTTTTGGAAATAAACATTCACTATCAATCCAAGTTTCTGTGTAACATTCGAAAGAATCTTGCAAACGTGTTATATAATTTAACTATTTATATCAGAAACAGACATCAATGTTAGTTAAAGTTCCATTTGTTTGAACTAAAAGATGTACTAGTGTGGGTATGGACGTGATTGGCTGTTAGTTTCGAGTATGAATGTATCTAAAAAACGATCCATCCTACACACACCTAGATCTTCTTGTGAGGAAAAGTATTGACCTCGCAGGACACGATACAAAGCCTTGATCTCTAAAAAATAAGGTATCCTATTGAACCTTGTATGGTTCTAGATTTCAATACTAGTTTTTGAAGTTTTCGAAATTCTCTCCAAAATAATCTCGAACTGAAAAAGTTTAGTATGACGCCTTGTTTTTTAGAGAATAGATTGAGCGTAGAAAGTCCGTCATCCATACATTTATGAACTTGATTATACATTGCTAAAATTTGTTGAGAAACCAGTTGAAAGGTTATGAGTCACATGATCGATAGCATTTTGTTTTGTTTGCGTGCAAAATTGAAGTGCTCAGTTTTTTTTCTGAACTACGTTTAGCATGACAAGCGAAATGTTTCTTCTTCTCGGACTATTTTATAAATATGACATAATTAATGAAATACTTGAGTTTTGTTCATTGCAGTGCAATCTCGAAAGAACTTGTCAGAAATAATTAGACTCGTAAGCAAAGTTTTATTAAAGAAATGATCCAGGTTCCAAAGGAAGAGGGACCATCGTGAAGAAAAATGATTCTTTTGTTTGTGCGAAAATCTTTTCTCCATTCTTCTACACTAAATTTTTTTTTTGCTAATAGAGGAAGAAGCCCACCTCCCTCGGCCTCTTCTCTACGTTCTGGGAATAATACATTGCAGTTTTATGAACTTCTGTTTTTGTAGGTATTTCGATCGCTAAGATGGGAACTTATTAAGCAAAATTCCAGGTAGTGCAAGAACTACTTTTTACTTCTTCGTCTAATTTCCAAGTACTCCCTCGAGTACCTGTAAAGTATTGAATGCCGTGATATTTGAAGAGAAATTGTGTGTGATATAGACTTTGCGTGTGCAAACATTTGGGCATGTATTTAGTAAAATTCAAGCAAATAACCAGATACTTGTAACAAGAACATCAATATGGGTAGCAATGTTGACAAAATTCTTTAAGCGTTTGCAATCATCTACAAGAATGGTTCACTAAGCCATTGATCAACAGGTCTTATCGACATGAATTAGCATTGATCAAGAAATTACATATATTGAACTCTAAAATTATTTCACATTTGTTCACAATGTATCGCTAATGTTGAAATATTCGTTTGAGAACAATGATGATGAAATTCGATGTCAGATCAGTTGTTGAGATCCTTACAACTTTTCTTTCGTTCCCAATTTAGATGAACACGAATGGTTCCTCTTTGTGCTAAGTAATATTGTTCATTAACTCGATTCATTACCCGAAGAGAAATGCAATTCAATAACTCTCAAAGATTTGACTAAATATGAATGAATGATAAGGACTCGATGTAGCACATCTGTTGAATAGATAAGAAAGGATGTATACATTAATCAATATCAGACCTTCCTTTGATGTCTTACATGACTAGATGAAAATACTGAAAGCAAAAAAGAGTTCTTGTAAGACGATGTGCTCATCGATGAGTGACCTCTATCATTATGTTTATCATCAATCACGGCTACTTACACAATATTCGTCAAATGTTTTCATTGCATCAAAGAACAGAAATAATTCAAAGTCGATAGAAGCACGAAAAATCTCAAAAACTCTTCAAAGACAACAGATAAACGGCGATATCATTTTGTGATTGGTTCAAAAACACATACAGATATTCGATTTGATAATGAAATTGATCTACGATCATCCAGCAATGTTAATGAAAAAAAAAAATACGTTCTTTTCTTTTCCATAGAGACCTTGTAATTAAGACTGAAGCAAAATAAGGAACATTCGCCCCTAATTTTTGTTTGATCTTCCTTCAGTTGAAAGAAAGAGAATTTAAAATCATTAGAATAAGTCGAACATAGGTGCAGAGCAACCGAATTATTTCTATCGAAATAACAGATAGTTATAATTCTGATTTTATATTCTACAATTCATTTTGCTTAATGTTCATATCGAATTTATGTTTGATATTTTTCTTTTACAGAATATTTTTCAATTACCCGGACGAAGTACAGGTGAATTACTCATTCGATTCATCCTATCTCGATGAAGATAGTAACAATCTGAGCATGCGATGGAAACTTCTTCATCTCAAAAGCATGAATCCCAATTAATTTCATTAATACAAAATATAGAATACCATATGGAATTGAATTATTTATGAACGTACTTTTTACCTTTTCTGTCGTAGCAAGTCGATCAAGTAGTGCATGCTTCGCAAAGCGATGAATGATGACAGCACACAAGTAATGATCTGAGAACAAAGTTATTTTACTTCTATAACAGGAAAAGAGTTCAAATATGAACATCAATGTTTTGGCTATTCATTCAAGTTGATCTGAAGATTCGTTTAGTCCTATTTCAGATCATATCTTCTATGCTAATACCATTTAAACTGATATTTAGAGATCTCGTATGTATCGATAGAAAATTTCATCAAAATTCATCACATCAAATCTGTAAGAAAAACGGGATTTAGTAGGTTTTTTTTCTCGTTCTCTTTCTTTGATTATTAGCTGTTTTTGTAACGCAATTTTCTTTTTTGACTAGAGAAAGAAAGAACGAGAGAAAGAATTCAGAACTTTGCAGACATTTTTTTCATTAGTCTGTCGACAACAGAGTTCGTTATCAGGAAAAATTATGTAAAACATAGGATTCTTATTTTAACCTCTCGTGTAATTATGACAGATGTTTATGATGAGAAACGTTCTCGGCTTATTCTCCGACGATAGGAAGAAAAAATCTAAAGAGGAAAAAAAGAAAGTAAAAAAGAACGACCTAATATTCGCACGACACACTTGCGTCTGTACCCTTTCATCTCATGCAAACAGACATGACTTACAAGAAAATATAGATTAACATAAAAAGATTTTTGAATTACATTGATCTTGTTTAGATTCGATCTGTCAACAATGATGTACAATGAACTTGATGAAGCCACTTCAAAAACGAAGTTATCTCGCGTGTGTCAAGTTTGTAACTCGAATAAAGCTTCCACTAACTATGACGCCATCTGCTGTTTCCCTTGTAAAATGTTCTTTCGTCGTAATGCTGATTTAGACATGGTAAAAGTCATGATTTGTTTTGTTTTTGTATCATATAGAATATCTCTATTCTTGATCAATAGAGTATTTATCAATGTAAATTTGATGGACAATGCGATGTAAATGCACACAGTCGACGAAGCTGCCGATCTTGTCGAATGAAAAAGTGTTTAGCCATTGGAATGAATAAGGAATTCTTTCGATCACCACATAGCTCGAAACATGTACGTCGGCAGCACGTCAATGACGTCATACAATTGCGAAATAAGGTCTATGCGCAAAAAAAAATGAATCTCTTGCTTACTTGAATAATCCTTTTTTTTCTATGTAGATTCTCAGTCGAGCAACTATTCGACCATTGAATCTTCTTTCCAATGATCGATCATTATTGAACCTCGAACAATGGTCGCTCTTGTCCAATGTTCTTCATTGTTACGATGCTCATTGTCCGATTTCAGAGATTCAACGAAGTATGGCTGTCTACTCAATGTGTCCACCCAAACATCGTCTGAAAGTGGCTGCTAATAATCTGATGGTCACCATAAATTTGTTCTTCTCATCGGTCTGGTCATTTGTAGAAGCAGTACCTCATTTCGCTGAGTTACCAGGGACTGATCGTCGAAATCTCATTCAGCGAAATGTTCATCAGATGGGAGCACTGAATGGTGCGCACGTATGTCAAGAAGGCAAATTTCACGATGATCCCACGAATCAAGGCGTGGCCATTGCAGAATATGGTGCATCATTGATAAATTACATGATGAAAGCCATTGAATTGGGCAGTTCCGATCGAACCGTATCGAAATTATTTCTACTCGTCATGAGCTTTTCAACTTGTTCCGACATGGTTCAACCACTTATTGATGACAATGGGCAATGGACAGGTATTCTTTGTTCTAGAGAATAGAATTCAATTTCTCATCAATGGAACATAAAGGCTGAGAATGAAAACTCAAGAATTTTCAATGTTGAGCTGCAGTACTGTACTGCAACCTTTCATAATTGAATCAGAAAAATAACAAGATCAAGTTTAATGTATTAATGACTTTGAATCAATCTATCCTCTCTTTAGATTATAGTCTTCTCTCCGATCCCATTCAAATATTCAACATTCAAAATCTGTTTGTTGACATTATCTTCAAATACATGATATATCAATCTGGTTACACTCATGCATCTCTTCACTTTGCTCATCTGATTGTAAATGCTCTAAAACAAGGAGAATTTATACAAAAAGCGCAAATGAATCAAAATCATGATGTTATGGTACAAACGATCATTCATGGATTCGAACAATCTTTAATCATTCGTTAATAATCTATCGATGCTTTGTCTTTAGTTATATTGTAATGCATTGTTAATATTCGTTGTAAAAAGTAGTTTTGTCCGAAAAAAACCTAGTTATCATATATGAGGATGGTAGTGTGAGTGTGCAATACCAGTTCGTGTGACGGGATGAACCACATTTACATTCCATAATTGATTAATGTCAACTATTTTTCTTTATACGATTTTCTGTATACATGACTTTAATAAAAACGTGAAATATAATTGTTCAACAGAGATATTATTAATATTCTAATAGTTTAATAAATAAAAGATAAATGTTAATTAAACCGTGATCAAATTGTATTCGTCGAAGTGTACGTGAGTATCTTCTGCATCGTCATTCACAACTTCCATCCATCCTAGACGAATGATGACCGCATACTCTCACATTATTGAATAGATAAAAGATGAAGTGACGTCGTACTATGATTATTGACACAACTACTATAGAAACTACATTACTTACGAGGGAACTATTTCAACTGATTTGACTTCATCTGCTATTTACAATGTCAATATTGTATTCTTGTATTGCTTTGATATATTAAAGATACCATTCGATACTAGATTCTTCATTATTACAAAATTGTAATTTCATAATTTAATCTAGATAAACATTTTAAAATTAAATCGTTTAAACAGTCTGATAAAATTCTTTATTTGATATATTTTTAGTTTGAAGTTATTTTCAAAATATATGAACATTTATTTCAAAAAAAAAAAAAACAAACGTCAATTTTCTATCATGATATTAATGATATTTTAAGTCATAAGTACGAACACTTCTAAGATTTTTTTAATTTTACTTGAGCCTATATATAGCCAAAGGATGTAGTCGAAAGCTTGGAATTAATTGAAGTACTTCCTTCGTTAGTAAGATTTCTCATTGGATGGAATGAAACAAAACAAGTTTCATCATGAGATCATTTTTTTCACCTGTTTCATTCAAAGTTTTAATTGTGTGAAACTCAAAATAATATTCAACTTTAGTTTTAAACTAATAAAAGCACCTACAAGGTTTATGAGTAAAAATTATTGATGACACTTTCATAAATAAATTTTATCATTTTATGAATCTTCTTTTTGTTAAAAATCCATGATTATCTTGTCATTAAATCATAAAAATGGTATCCTCTTATTGCATCTTTCAATAGACAGAGAATAGATTATTATCATTCAAGTAAATCTTTTATTTAATTTCAAAAATCAATTAATTTTTGATAATTACTATGTTAAAGAACATTTACATTTTGAAATATACTAATTAACTTTTTTCTTTTACCTAGAATCTTATTCTTTCACGTGCAATTTTATGCATAATGACATATTTTTTTACAATGCATTTATTTTATTTTAATTTCAAGCTCTAAAGAAACTAATATCAAGAAGAAGAATTTGATCAAAAATAACTTATATTCAATTATTTAAAATGTATTAGTTAGCAGAATATTACTTTGCAATCAACGATCGAAAGTTTTGTATACAGCTAATTTTTTTTCCTCGTTTATTTGTGTATCATTTAATAGAAACTTATGAAAATATTTTATTCTGATTCAACAGGAAAAACTGATTATAAAAATGTTATTTATTTACAATTAGAGTTGATAAGGTTTAAAAAATATTCTATCCAATATAAATAACTTCAACATGCCTGATAGCACGTATTAGTGAGTGTTCCTGTTGATCTCTGTAGATTTTTTTTTAAACAAAAGATAGAATTAAATGCTTTATCTCATTAGAATCTTTACATTGTGAGCTACACAAATGCTTATTTAGTTCTTTTTTATATTCTATTTTATTGTGGAGAACATTCTTTTTTTTTCCATTTAGTAGCAAACTCAGAGAAAAAGAACAAAAAAAAAAACGCTAGTAATCAGCGACTGTTATTATCATGGCTCAGTTGAAAAACAAAACTAATAGCATATTCAGAATCAATGTCGCAAATTACATCAACTCATAAATATGAAAAGCTAAATAATTACTTTTTTAAGCTTATAATTTAGAATTTCTAATGAGATTAGATATTTTCTTCTTTTCTGTTGTTAAAAAAAACTAGAGAAACTTTCAAGAGTACTCAAAAATATACTCTATGGCATATGTTGAAGTTATCAATATAGGATATTTTTAAACTTTATGAACCCTAAATCTAAACAAATAACATTTTTCTACTCAGTTTTTGATGTTGAATTAGAATAAAAATCTTTTCATAAAGTTTAATAACTAACATATTTGAAATTAGACAATTCCTATAAGAAAAACAATGGGAAAATTCATAAGTGTCAATAATACATATTCAAATAAAAACTATATTTGTGTGACTACCTTATCAAACTCTATGAAATTCTATATAAACAAACAAGAAAAAAGTTCACTCGAATTTTGCATATGATTGAAAATTGTAACAAAGATTCAGAAATAAATTTTGAATATATAATCTAGAGCAGCAACAGTTGAAATCGATGCACTGTCAAAGTCTATCATAAAAAGTAGACCAACAACTGTTTAAATAATTCTTTTTCAATGAGTTGAAGTGTCTTTCCATCAGATGTCATTCTAGTCAAATTATAAACATGAACTTGATTTCTAAATTCTATTGTCGAAAGAACCTATAATGCATTCAAAACTCACTCAGTGAACAACAATGTTTGTCCAGCTGTTGTCAATATGAGTTCAGTTCAACGTACTTTGAACTACTATGTATGTCAAACATAATAAACATTACCATTGTGTAATTATTAAAAGGTTATTAGTCCCAACTGGCAATAATCTCCTATATTCTCATATGACATATCCAAACCGTTTACTTTGTTTTCTAAATTTAAATTTTTACAAATGAACTTGTTGTTCCTTTTTTTTGTATGTTATTTCATTTCAATGACAATAGTACAACGTAAATTATTTATTCATTAATATTATAATACGTTTTAGAGCAGAATTTCTGATCTTCAAATTCTTAATAGGTATAATAAAAATAAAGAGATACTGTAGAATATTGTAATTCTTCATTTAGAAACTTGTTTAGCAAAAGAGAAATAATTATATAATTTGAAACAAAGATATCGTTTGCTTTTTTTTGACATATTTTATCTATAGAT